AATCACCTTGCTACCAACTGCGCTGGACACGTTTCTTGTATATAGAATAACAACAATTGATAATATATAATAATGAGAGTTAGTGGGGAAAAATGCTCTGAATCAAAATCAACAAGGAACATGAGAGTGGATCTACCATCGTTCTCGACAACATATTTCACAAAATCCACTTGAGCAATGACTCCAGCTTCACCAACTTGCATCTCACCCTTCAATTCTTCTTTCAACCTCTTCCGGCTTTCTTCACCTTCCTTTCCCACATATTCAATTTTCCCATGATCCTTTCTTATCTGACCTGATTATCCTCCAAATTCTTCCTAAACATCTCATTAAAATAAGCTTTCACGTCATCAGACAATGAACCAACCCTAGATGCTCCAGCCTCACCAGAAGGATCCTTCATAGGTTCTAGAATCTGATCATCACACAATCGCCTTCCAGACTTATCAAGATAGTAATAAACACCATCAATGTCTCTGTAACACCTCATAATGGAACTCCATATTCGTCTAGAATCTTTGGAGCTTCAACTGAGTCTTCTTCCTTAGATACAATCCCATTAATCTCTAGAATCATCTGTACAGAAGAAGTGAAAAATATAGGTATATTCAGATTTTCCTTGCAATGAAGCATCCTTTTAATGATGAATTTTACCCAATCAATTATGTAGAACACCTTAACAACGATCCAGTGGCAATTTTGATATTAAACTTCACTTGACTGATGGGGAATTTTACCATACCAATGTCCTCAGCCACAAATTTAGAAATAGACAGAATAAAATGAATCCTATCATAATCAGATAATCTAGCAACAATGATACTTGAACCATAAGATATCAAACTAAAACATTTAGTAAAATCACAATATATGAACTTCACAACACAATCCTTAAACTCACTCTCAAGACCAACCGTAGTAAGCTCAAGGTTATGGTAGAAGGCCTTGGCATGATCTAGGGTTACAATAGAAGGCCTTGGCGTGATCAGGGTTAACTTTCTTTCTTAAACTAATAAATTTCAACAAATTTTTGTCAAAAAGGGTTTAATAAAATTTGCTCTCAACTCAGTTTCAGAAGTTTTGTCAACATAATGCTCTAGTTCAACAAGCTTATTCAAAAACTTTTCATGGTACACTTTCAGAATACCCTCAGACAATAGATATTTTACCTTGTGGCACATGATATAAATAGTTTGACTCTGAGAAGATTTCTTTCTTGACTTCTTACTCATTTTGCAACCAGACAAATCTTTACTTGCTTGAACTTTGCTTCTTGCGCTTTTTGGAAATGGAGGAGGAGATTGATTTGATCCTAAAACCATCATATTACCTTGTTGCTTTTCTTAGAAGCTCTTTTGAGGAAGTTGATAAGATATGTTGGTGGAGGCCAATGGGTTGATGAAGATGATTGATAATAGATCAAGATGACTAAAAGATGATTGAAGATGAATGATTGATGATAAACAGATTTTGATGATTTATGAATGAAGATAATTTTGTGAAAAATGGGGTTTGAGAGAGATGAGATATTTTTGAAATGAAATGAGGAATGAAAGGTTAAAATAAAAACTGAAGAAATTCAAAATTTAGTGATCTTTGGGGTTGTAATTTAAATCAAGTGTTAGTTGTGATTTGAATCACATGTTTTTATTTTTGAGAAAACAACACTTTGATTTGAATCAAGTGCAATGTCTAGTTAAAATCAATTTGACCAGCCTCAAAATGTCACAACTCCCAGACTTCTGATTCGAATCAAGTTAAAAGATTGATTTGAATCAAGCAATCAATTTTTAGAATATTTTAATGTAATTGAAAAATGAGTTTTAATGAAATGCATAAACTTGATTATGGTTTTTAATGATAAACACCTTTAATGCAAATTTTCAAAGTGATTTTTAATGCAAAATATTTTTAATGTAAATGCTAAAATAATTTTGATGCAAGAAATTAAGTGATGATGCATGAATAACACACATACATGTTTCAAGCATATAATGCATTTAAATAATTACAACTATGTATACACAGAAAGAAATAAAGAAGAATTGAAATGATCATACCAATTTAGACAATCTAGGCTTAACTTGATGCACACGAGAATTGAAAATAATCAACAACAAGAATATCATAAGCTTTAAAATACAATCAGACTCTTCTCCATAAAACTTCAAATGAATTTTGAACGAAGATTGTATGATTATTACTGATTGATACATCTTCTCAATCTCAAATAACTAATTCAAATCTTTGATGATCATTAGAACTTCAAGGAATAAATTTCTATCCTAGAATATTTTATAAATTTTGAAAATTTGAAGAATCATTTCCAATAGTCACGAACATCATTCTTCTCCTTTTTACGATAGCCTTGGAAGAACAAGTCACTTAGAATATGCTTTTTTTTCATCTCTCAAAACTTCAAATCACATTATTGTGTGAATGCATGTCCATCTTTAATTCAGATCAATCACGAGCAAACTTTAAGACATAGTGTCAGGTTACTAATCACACTGCACATACCTTAAAATATTGTTAGTTCAATCATAGATGAATAAAAAGCTTACAAAATATCTTAAACACAAATAATATTTGAAGAATGCACTAGTAAGATTTTACTTCAGGTTAATCTATGTATTGCATGCAACAAATAATCAGACATTAGTAAATCATTGTAGTATCATTGGAATTCGTTGAATTGCATAAGCTTTCAAATGGTTAGAAAAACTCGTATATGATCGAAGGAGCCATATCCTCAATTTGGAGTTGCAAAACTTTGATAAAAAGCTATACTATGATACCATGAACAAAAATTTCAAAAACAATTTCCTAAAAGACAATTTTAAAAACAATTTAGGTCGCATAAATGAAATCAGAGATTTTAAGAAGCGTGGAAGCAAAACATAATACTAGGAGAGCTTGAAAGCATCTTAATAAATTAAACCAACTGAAATAATACACGATTTTATTAAGGACTTGATTGCTTCAAATGCAAGTCAATCACAATACAACCAAAGTTACTTTAAACAAAGCGATTTAAAAACTCTTTACATATATGTTCTTTCAAGACAAAATTGGCTTCATGATAATATAATAAGATTGATACACCATAAACCTAAACTTATACATTAAATCTCTTTAAGCACGGTCTAACCTATATGACATACAAATGATCAATAATGCACTAACGCGATAACAATATTAATGAATACTAGAAAATTAAAAGGAGATAAGGGAAGAAGAAAAAATACACAGAGATATATAGTGGTTTGACATCCGTCCTCACTTTAGCTACTCCACTCTTCAATAGTGTTAAAAATCAATGGCAAATAATCACGATCTTCCACTATTTTGATAAGTTTGATACAAGCATTTTGATTACAAGTTATAACGAACTGTCACACGATAATTCCCTCTGTTGATGCAGACATTTAAAATGCTAACAAAAACAAGACCTCAAAAGATCTTGATCCAATAACCTTGCTATCCATAATAAAATACTCCAAGTATTCATGTGTGGCAATTCAACTGATCCCAACAATTTCTTATTTGAGTGATTGTCATTAGCTACATGTTGATTGGAAAACTCCCAACTTTTTATGCGAACAATATTTCTCCAACCCCACGAAAGCTGTATAACTTCCAACTCCGTCTTACGGATAATTGATACTTGATCACGCCAAAGTCTTTCATGGAGTATACTAAAACTCTCTCTTTGATAGACAACCATAAAGACCAAACAACATTCAAGAAATTATACATGTACCTGTTACAAACAACAAACTTCACACAAAATATTAAATACCCTAATGTACTACTAGTCTCCCTCAATACTCAATACTTAGAAATAAAGGTCCACAACAATGGAAAATAATTTAGGATGAAGATGATGAACAATTTCATACCATCTCATAAACACTCTTATTCACAAGGTGTCAGTCAAGGGATTAGATGTATGTGAAAGAAGAACACCCATATAAGGTTCTCTCTAATTTTTGGATGAATGAGTTTTGGTTCTTGATTGATATCATGATCTTGATTAATCATGAACAACACTACAAAATTAATCAATTCACTCTCTAATTCATTCAAAAATAACAACACATTGCACAAGAACAAGATGTATAAAAAAGAAGTGAATCTGACGTGGATTAACACTCAAGAAGTTATTCTAGAGAAGAAGAGAAAGATTAATGGTGCTAGGAATAGACACACTAAAGAAGAGAAGACAAATTGACATTTTGTCTCTATAGATTTTTCTCATAGTTTCATATTTGTGTTTTTGAATCAAAGAAATAACTATTTAAATCTAAGATGAAAAATTAAATTCGTGAAACTTTTAATAAAAGATGACAATACATATTTTATAAGAGATTAATTGATATACACTATTGGTATAAAATTTTTTACACCATCAATGCATCATAATCATTCAAATATATTATTTTAATAAAAATTAAAATAAAAAATAAATATTTAAAATTATGATTCAGTGACGAGTCATTATAATTTTTTTTTATACAGTTAATGGATGAATATTATTCTCATTTTATAACCGTGTATACATTTATTCTTATTTATATAATCAAATAAAATGTTTTCTTTCTTATAAAATGAAATTAATTAGTTTCCTTAATTACTTGTAATTTCTAGACTATTTATATCCTATTATATTTTGTACAAACATATAAGAAATAGGCCGTAATTTTCGTGGCGGAGGTTTCACGTTGGATGTAAAAAGTCCTGAAAGTAGGTTAACAACATGATTCATCCCCCAAGTTATTCTTTTACAAACCAAACCACCTCAATTAGTCAATCTAGTAATAGTTGAACCAGCTTTTGTGGAAACCAAACAAACTTTGCCACGATTCAGTTACCCAAAAACCTGCTTCTCTTTCCGACTTTTCACTTCACATGAAAAACAAAACCCCCCAAAAAGCACAAAAATTGTGATTCTCTTCATTCTTCACAACTGAAAACACTAGAAAGCACAAAGGAAAGCTATGAAAACAGGAACTTCAAATTTCTTCAATGATCAAACTGTTGTTCTCACCACTAAACTTCTACGTTGGACTATTTGTTCTCTCGTTCCAATAGCTTTGGTTCTTATATACTTCTACCATCTACCAATTCTACCCCTTTCATCTCCCGAATCTGACTTCACTCATTCCAATATCACTGATCACTCTTCACCTTCATCTTCTTACGCAGGTATATGCTTACACAATTCCTTCTTGATTCTCAAAATTATATAATTGCTACTAGATTTTATTTTTGTTTTTAACACAGTAGTAAACAATCAATTGACTAGTTTTTAATGTAGTTTGTTCCTGGTTTATAATCTTTATCATCTTGTTCATTTCAGAGAAGAATTTTTTTTACCAAAACCAATGTGATTACTCAAAGGGTGATTGGATCAAAGACACGTCAAGTCCTTTATATAATGACACAACATGTGGTATGATGAAAGAAGGAAGAAATTGCATCAAACATGGAAGACCTGACTCTGATTATCTTTATTGGAGATGGAAACCAAGTGAATGCTATCTTCCAAGGTTTGAACCACACACTTTTCTACAACTCATTAGCAATAAGCATATAGCTTTTGTTGGAGATTCAATGGCTAGGAACCAATTAGAGTCTCTTCTATGCATGTTAGCAACTGTTTCAGTTCCTAATCTTGTGTACCAAAACGGCGATGATAATAAGTTCTCCAAGTGGTACTTTTCTTCATACAATGTAAGTGTTTCATTGTATTGGTCTCCATTTCTAGTTCAAGGTATTGAAAAATCAAGCACAAGGCCGAATAATGAGCTATATTTGGATCTTGTGGATGAAAAATGGGCAAAGGATATGGATCAAATGGACATGATTGTGTTATCAGTTGGACATTGGTTTTTGCTTCCCGCGGTTTATCATGAAGGTGATTCAATCTTAGGATGTCACTATTGTCCTGGTCTTAATTACACTGATATGGAATTTTATGATGCATTGAGAAAGGCTTTAAGGACTACTCTTCATAGCATAATTGATAGAAGAGAAAATGATAAAAGTAAAGGATTTGATGTATTTCTGACAACATTTACACCACATCATTTTGAAGGTGATTGGGATAAAGCCGGTGCTTGTCCAAAGACTAAGCCTTATAGGAACGGCGAGAAGGAAGTTGAAGGAATGAATGGTGAGATCAGGAAGGTTGAGATTGAAGAAGTTGTGGCTGCTAAGGTGAAAGGGAGTGAAAATGGAAGGTTTAGATTTGAGATATTGGATGTAACGGAATTGGCTTTGTTGAGACCAGATGGTCACCCCGGTCCTTATATGAATCCTTTTCCGTTTTTTGATGGTGCTCACGAACATGTGCAGAATGATTGTGTTCATTGGTGTTTACCTGGACCGATCGATACATGGAATGATATATTTTTAGAAATGATAAAGAAATGGTGGGAAGAAACTAGGAGTGAAGATTGAGATATTTCTCATGTATTGTTAATTGATACCTTAGTGTTTATATTGCATGTTATTGTTCTTGCATTGGAGCATAGAATTTTTGTTTCTGGTTAGGTATCAAAAGGAAACATTGATATTGATGATAGTCGTTTTAATATGCCTTTTTTAGTTCAATTAAATTTTTGGAGCAGATTGTTGGCCAAGAGTATGTAAATTTTGAATAAGTGGAATTTTACGAGTTTAAGTCTGCGTTCAATTTTGTTAAGTTTAATACCTATAAATATTTGTTCAATTTGTTCAATTTCAATTCATATTTGACTTTTATAAGGACTAAATGGTGAGACTAAAGTATTCATTTTATAACAAATTATTAAGAAATATGTCTGAATTCACATCACACGTCTATTAAACCATCATTTGTAAAATTTAAATTCATTCTTTAATTGATTAACATTTGTATAGTTACAAATATATATTAATATATGCATCAACTTTTAAAGTTGATATCTCATAGATATGTTCATATCTATCTGTCATAAAAATAAAATTTTATTTTTATTATAATATGATGTTATAATAATCATAAGAGAATTTATTTTAATACGTTGTCAAGTAAAATAAATATTCTAACTAATTAAAATAAATTTTACATAGGAAAAAAGATAAATTTACAATTTTAATTTTTTATTATATTATAAAATTTTATGGATACAAATAAAATTTTATTTATTATATTATAAAGATAGAGATAAAATTTCATAAAGATTGAAAAAAATTTACAATGAATTTTTTTTTGAACCTTGCATTTGTTATATGATTCGAGAGAATGTCACCCTTAATATATGACCCACCCCTTTAATGTATGGCTCCATATTAATCAAAAATATTTTATTCATATATTTTTGCAAAGCCTGCAAAATTTGTTAACCTAGCCGAAACACAACAAAACAAAACTTTGAAGCAATCATTACATAGAACTTTTAGCATACTTACATATATGGAAATCATCACACTTGGAATATAAGACCAAACATGATTATATAAAACTTAAAGTACAAAACATACACAAAAATAAACAGTATCAGAATATTTACAACATTAAAATATGGTTTGAACATATGATTTGAACATAGATTGACATTAGAATTAAATATATGAACATAGGAAAAACCTATAAAAGCCATGAAGAACGATTAATCTTCTTCTCGACCATGAAACTCTAATTTCTATAAACAGTAGGTAAAGACTTGGAATTAGTTGTCCATGAGTTGAACCCGTAAGCCACATAATGTTGGATAGAGTAAATCTTGGGAATCAATGTGGATTCAATAATCTTGGATAGAGTAAATCTTGGGAATCAATGTGGATTCAATGGAGTTAAGTTTTTCAAATTCATTTGGTTGGAGATTTCTGAAGAAGAGAAGGAACCATCAACCAAGTCACTTCAAAATTCAAATTTCATCAAAAAAAAATCAGCACCCATAAACGATCATGTAACACAATACAAAAATTTAACAAACTATTTAACCAAAACAATTACAAAGCTCCAAACTTTTATCTACCTTTTTCTCGCTCAACATAATTCACTTCATCATTAATATAATAACAATCAACTCAATACACATATTTAACGAAATCGATGAAAAAAACCTAAGTAGTAAAAGAGAGCAACTCAAAGTTTTGATAGTTGTTTTCGTATATTTCGCAATCAGAATCATCTTGATCAGAGTAACTGAAATATTCCACACCTCAATCATAAGATGATATAACAAATACAAATCTAGTTGACCGAAACTTTTGCAAATACCATTTTGTAGTAGTAGGATACAATACGCCTAATTTCTAGTTGATCAACAACAGCCACAACTTTTCAATAACAAATATTTTTAAAGGCTTTTCAATAATAGATTACTTTTCGTGACCGTGTATTTATAAAATGTGTCCTTTTCCATGTCATGGAAACCAGAAGAAAGAAAGGGTTCATGTTATTCTTATGCTATTTTTGCTTTTCATTCACATGTTCAACCGGTTGAAATCACAATATTGTTAGCCGAGTTGGTTTTTAATTAGCTGAGTTAGGTTGTAATTTTGTTAAGTTTTTTATTTTGTTTTTAATGTTAGTTAGACCTTTTTCCCCTTATTTAAGTCGTTCATTACCTTTCTATAAAAGAAAGACATTCTCCCTATTTTAGTCATTACCTTTCTATAAAAGAAATATATTCACAATTATTGTAATGAAGAAGAATAATTGAATTAATCGATTTTCACATGGTATTAGGACCAAGAAATGATATCTCGTTTCTCTTTCTTCCATTTTTCCAAGATTGATCTTGCTCCTTTTTCTTCAATAGGGTTAGTTTTTTTCTCCTTTTTCTTTTTTATCAAGAGCGACAACGATGATGCATTAGCAACCAAACATCAATTATTATTAGGACTGACAATGAATCGAACCAATTTAAAAATAGTTCAGAATTCAATTTAACAATTAAATCGTTGAATTAAGTTCATGAATCTAATGAATTGAATATGGGCAAAAAATTAAATTCGGTAACTAAGTGAGCTGGACTTGAACTATACATAATTTGACTCGTTAGATTAATGAGTTAATTCGATTATATATGAGAAGGATTATATTGTCTTTAGGTTTAAATATTTACCGTAAATCTTAGCTTTATATTTTCTTTTTATCTAACAGTTTTAATTGATAATTTATACTCTAAGTGAGCAAAATATTTCTTAAAATAATTATACAAATAAAATCAACATCATATAAATTATGTAATTTTTGAATTAGTAGATTTTTTAGACAAAATCAAATTCCAATCTAATAACTTTTATTTTATTTTAATGTTTTATTTTTAAAATAATATTAATTTAAAATGTCAAATATATAAAAAAAATTGACTTTGAAAAATAATTTTTAAATCCGTGAAGCAAGCGAGCTGAACCTAACGAGATGAACCTAATGATTCAAACCGAGTTGTTCGTGAACTTATAATGAGCCAAACTTGAGCTTAAAATAAAGTTCTTGTCAAACTCGAACCAATATTTGAGCTGAACTAATACTTAACGAGTCAGGCCGAGCTGTGGCGAGTTCGACAATACTCAACTCCTTTCCAGCCATAACTACTATCAATAATAGATAAAATCAAATCCACAAAAACCACCAACAAGACATTTATTCAAGATCAAAATTGCTCATTTATATTTCTTCAATTTTATTTTTAGGGTTAATTTTTTCACCTTTCCCTTTTTTATCATGAGCGACAACGATGATGCATCAGACAACAAACATCCACTACTATCAACAATGGAGGAAAATCAAATTCACAAAACCACCAACAAGACATTTATCCAAGATCGAAACTGCTTCATGCACTGGTAAAAAAACAAGTGTGTGTGTTCTCCTACAATCCTAGGGAGGCTCATAGGCCTTAGTAGGTTTATAACACGATATGTTGATTATGGCTTGTCCACGATTGTGAATAACTTTGTACTGTAGTGTTTTTTAAGGTAGTTGAGGAGTCATGCTCAGGTGAGATGATAAACTCTATAGATGACCAGTGGTGCTTGGGAGCAAGCGCATGATTACATGCAGTCATGTGTTATGACCTTAGTAAGCTTATACTATATTTTGGGTGTAAAGAATGGTTTCTCCATTCTCCTTGGGGAGGATAACATTTATATAGGCCCTTTGGACCTAGGGTTTTCTTAGAAAGGGTCATCGCACACTCAGTCAATGATGGACCGTTAAATCTCTATTTCCAAGGGAAATGTAGGTCCGTTAATGACCTATACTTTCTCTTTGCCCAAGAAGCGTCTTATCCCAAGGGCGATAGGAAAACCATGGGGCGAGGAAATATCTCCCTTTGGGCGATATTTTATCATCACATCTCTAGGACGATCTAAAGGCATCACCCTAGGCGTATTCTTTTGCAAATATAACACTACATAGTCCCTCAAGCACAATGCCTTTGATAGAAGATGAATTGTTCTTAAACCATGACTTATGGGACTATCCCGAGAACTTGTACTTCCTCTCGTGAAGACTTAGCTATCTTGGGAAACTCAGGTTCTTTATCCATATTAACGTGTAATCCGGTTGAAGAGACATTAAGTCCCTCAAGAAAGCGTTTATTTAACCTGGAGAATCTAAGTCTTCCAGACAGAATTGTATATTTCCTAGTTGATGAGACTATAAGTCCCTACGGCGAGGCGCTTATCCTATCGCAGCACGAAAATACCCGAGCGTAAGGAACACTCAAAATACAACTAATTTGCCACCAAACTTTATTTATTCTAAAGGAAATGGAAAATATCGAATAAAACTCATGAAAGAAAAGAAAATTATTATCGCAACCAATAGCAGATTCAGGATTCGGTTACGCAAGGGAAAAATATTAGCATCCCTTACATTAGTTGTATTCATCGGGACCCATTTACTTAGTTTTCTGAATTAGTATTACCATGAATAGTTTGCGATCTTCTACTTATTATGCGAGAAAAATAAAGGAAAGTGTTTTTAGGTTTTTTATTATCGTGCTCGCCAAAATTTCAAAATCCTGTGCCTACGTATTCTCATGGTGCAATAAGAAAATCAGAGCTCCGTAGTTCTTGATAGAAAACTACATATTTATTGGTTGCTTTTAAAGGGTGATGTGTTAAACATTTCAAGCGATTAAACATTTGCTTACTGCTCGCTCTTGGAGGTTAAAGCGTTTGCTTGTTTCGCATCAAATGGATCACATCTTAGCAGTTTAAACATCGCATATTGCTCGTTCTTGGAGGTTGAAGTGTTAGTTTGTTTCACATCGAATGGATCACATTTTAGCGGTTCAAACGTTGTTGGTTGCTCACTCTTGGAGACTAAAGCATTTGTTTGTTTCACTTCGAAATGGCTAAAACACACTCATTTCTGAAAAAGGTTTTCGAAATCGCGTTTGATGAATTGAGTTGATTTTATGTGGAGACAAGTATCCAGACATGGAGTTCTACAACAATATTCAAATACTCGAGAAGGG